CTTAAATGTGTTCACGCAAAACCTACACCTAGATCAAGAAGCTGTTGTCTGAATGGACCGAAGGTACACCGCATGGCTTAAAATCAAGAACGTTGTGCATCAAAGATATATCCTTTCGTCATAACGATTCAATCTGTATACCGAGTAAATAAATAGTTTGTAAAGCTGGATTCTATAAATTGGAATGTGGTATCAGGACTAGAAAAAGACTCATGAAAATCTGCATTATGCAAGTGGCACAACCTTGCTTGCTGAAACTGAGGAGGAGTTGAAAAGCTTGCTGCAAGAGATCAAGGACTACAACCTTCAGTATGGATTATAATTCAATATCACAAAAACAAAGGTCCTCACCACTGGGCCAGTCAACATCGTAATAGATGGAGAAAGGATTGAAGTTCTCAATTATTTCATATCACTGGATCAACAATCAACACCCTTGGTAGCAGCAGTCAGGAAATCAGGAGATGTATTATATTGGGCAAGTCCACTGTCAGAGACCTCTCCAAATATCTGAGGAGCAATGTTATCAGTTTGAAAACTGAAGTGTACCTGATTCAGGCCATGGTCTTCTCAATCACTTGCTATGCATCTGAGAGCTGTACAATGAATAAGGATGACAGAAGAAGAACTGATGAGCTCTTCCTCATAAGCTAGTTAGTTCAGGGGCTTGATGACTCCCTTGATAACTCTCTTACTAACTTACATTTGGAGTCTGATTTGACCAGCCACTGAAGGTCTCAGGAGCCAGTGACGGTATCAGTCCCTGCAGCTAGTATTAACACAAGCAGCTTGGATGCTTTGTTCCTTCAAATTCTCTTAGAGCCTCAACCACCCTCCACCAGACTGTAGATGGCCATGGGATTATGAAGCTCCTCAGTTTCAGCAGACACCCAGTGTCCGTGACTGCCCTGGAGAGGCTGCTGTGGTAAACCTTTCAGGAGGAAGTTCAGCCTTAGGTGATTCCCTTCCCTCTGCAGAGCCCTGTGGGCATCCAAGGTACTTTCTATGTGGGAAATTTCAGAGAGGATTTGGCCAAGCTCAAGTTGTGGCCGCAGCAGTGATGGTGGTGCAGCTGGACCAGGTTCAGCATGGTGTCTCTTTAATCTTCTATTTCTGTGTCTGATGTATTTAGCCTCCATGGTATGAATCTTACCTCTACCTGGGCTATCTCTCTTTTGTGAATGGGCTGTCTTTGTTATGTTAATGAGGCAAGTTTAAATGGTGTTAGGGAGATTTGGACTTGTACTTGCTATATTAACCAGGCATGATTACAACGACTCGACGGCTCATAACAACAACAACAACAACTCTTAGCTGGGAGGCTGGGCTCTATGAGGAGGAATGTGGCATCAAGATTGGAGGAAGACTTGTCCACAATCTCCATTATGCAGAAGATATAACACTGCTTGCTGAAACTGAGGAGGCCATAAGGCATCTGATGCAGAAGGTCAAGAACACAGAAGGTCAAGAACTGCAGCCTTTAATATGGATTGAAGCTCAACATCAAGAAAACAAAGATTCGCACCACTGGGATGATTGGCAGCATCATGATAGATGATGAAGAGTTTGAGATTGTTGACAGCTTTAGTTTGCTTGGCTCCACAGTCAACGCTCTTGGTACCAGTCATCAGGAAATCAAAAGATGAATTGCAGTGGGAAAATCTGCTGTCACGGACCTCTACAGAGTACTGAAGAGCAATGGTGTCAGTCTGGAGATTAAGTTGTGCCTCATCCAGGTCATGGTCTTTGCAGTTACTTGCTATGCATCAACAAGCTGGACAATAACTAGGGATCATAGAACCAGAATTGATGCCTTTGAACTGTGGTGCTGGAGAAGAGTCTTGATCATATCAGGGACAGCTAGAAGAACAAACAAGTTAGTCCTAGAGAGAGTGAAACTGCTCCTTGAAGGCAAGGATTCTGAAGCTCTGTCTAACATATATTGGGCATATTGCAAAGAGGGACCAGTCCTTGGAGAGGGTGGAGGGACAGCGTAAGAGTGGAAGACCATGGATGAGGTGGACTGACTCAGTGCCTGGAATAATGGGCGTAGGTATGGCACAGGATAGAGCAGGGTTCAGGGCTGTTGTCCGTAGGGTCACTATGAGTCACAAGACACTGGACGGCATTTCACAACTCTTATTCGTATTATACCTTTGCTTGAGTCAAATATTTTTTATTTTTTTATTTTTAGAAGAGATGAAAAGAGAGAGAAGACTGCAGAAAAGGGGGACCCCACTAGCACCAGGAAAGAAGAGCCCATAGCAAACCTTGTGCCTTTCAACTTGGACTCCTTGGACTGAGAACCTCCCAGACTAGAATGAAATCTGGCACAAGATACATGGAGATCTGCAAGGGGCACCACGGTTCTGGTCCACAGATGTTGAAAGGAGACAACAGACCTTTCTCCAAAGCTGACCCAGAGAGAAAGCCCTTCCTTGGAGCAGCTATGCTGAGTTCAGATGTCAAGCCTCCTGAACAAAGAGGTAACCCAGAGCTGTTTGTTAAAACCATTCACTTGGTGTATTGCTTTTACAGCAGCCCTAGATAACTAAGATCATAACAACGATACAAATCCCCTATTGTCCAAGCGAAAATATATCTGTGGCATGCTGGTGGCACTGAAATTTCTAGAACGTATGCAAATGAAGACAAATTACCACAAGAAGAGACACTACCGAGGGTGGGAATTTGCTTTCAAGTGATTACAAGGAAATAAAGCTCTAGCAGAAAGTGAGACAAAAGCATGACTTCCTCTGAATTTAGTGTCACTGCACTCAGCAAAACTATTTGCGTGGATGGTCCTTTCCATTTTTCTTGCTTCTGCGTTATTTCCCTACTTCCCTCCTTTCCTTCACTGTAAAGGCTTCCTCACAGCCGTAGCATAATTTAAACCAAGGCATGCCTCCTTTTTCATTTCTCATTTTCCCGCTGTGCATTTCATCACACCCAAGCAAGCCTTTATGTTTACTCTTTAATCACATTATTATACATAATCGCATGCAAATTTGGTTATCAGATAGTTATAAGCAATGACGGTGTCAACGTTTTTTCCAAATGAGAAATCAACTGGGAACAAAATGTAGCATACTCTTCCGAGATTCAGTTTCTCTTAGATAAAAGCTTTCATCATTAGGGAGACATCAGCATCACATCAAAACCAAACCAGAGACCAGACAAGTGTTGATGCCAATTTGTGGTTACCCCACGTGTTCAGAGAAGTGGACCCCAAGGGGTTTTTAATGCCAGTGGCCTTTCCTAAGCACATTGACAAGCCTTTCTGAGGCTTCCTTATGTAGACTTGAACTGAAAACCTTTTGTTTAATAGTCAAATACTTAATCACTTATGCCACCCAGAATTTTTACTCAAAACTCCAAGAGGTGATCAAGAAGGATTGTTTTTAAGGTAGTAGCAACATACAGAGCCCATGCAAGCTAAGATGCAGCAAAACCAGCCATCTGGTCACCAAGGACAAGGTGTTAGAAACTCGAACATGTAACCTTCCGGCACGTCTCCCTTCTGTAGGATTGTCTGCAAGCATTCGAATGCTCTGCTTTTGCACAATATCTTTCTAAGTTTCATTTTGTTTGTCTCTTGCTCATCTCTGCAATTTTCCATTAGCCTCTCTTTACTTTTTCCTACTTAATTTCTTTTTATTCTCCACACTAATTTCTCTAATTTTTTTCCTTACTGTGAATTTCTTATATTTCCTCCTACTTCTCCTCGTTCCATTTTACCTTCTCTTTTCTGCCTATATTTTGATTTCTCCCCTCTTGAATTCTTCTTCCTGCCTCATTGATCTGTTGTGGCTCGACGCCTTCCTTCCTTGCTTAGTCACCCAGTGACTGGCATTTTCTCCCTGAAAGGAGAGGGATTTGTGGGTGTAGGAAAATCATTCACAAAGACCCCAGTGCATTCAATTTTCAGGACAGTTCTTTCTTCTGTGCCACCTTTTGCTTGGGATTAGAGACGGCCCACTTACTACAGCTCCCAGTGACAAAGCTCTCCAAGCCCCACTTCTCAACCCTTCAAATCACAGGGCAGAGCCAGGTGGATCTGAGATTACTAGAAATTAAAATTGCCTTCACTGGAAAAAACAAAACAAAACGAATGCAAGATTTACACAATTTTGCCAAGAAAACAAAGTACTACTTTTTGTTATAATCTGATGAACCAGACTCTATCTATCTATCTATCTATCTATCTATCTATCTATCTATCTATCTATCTATCTATCTATCATCTATCTATCTATCTATCTATCTAACTATCTATCTATCATCTATGTCTTCTACCTATCATCTGTCATCTGTCTTCTATCTATCTATCGATCATCTATCATCTATGTCTGTCTTCTATCTATCTATCATCTACATAATCATCTATGTCTGTCTTCTATCTATATCTATCTATCTATCTATCTATCATCTATGTCTGTCTTCTATCTATCTATCTATCTATCTATCTATTATCTATCATCTATGTCTGTCATCTATCTATCTATCTATCTATCTATCTATCTATCTATCTATCTATCATTTCCCCCTCCCTGACGGCATTAAACAACAACAACAATAGTACAAAACAAAACAAAAGCATGCAGATATATTCTAGGGAGAAGGGTACAAGACCTTTTGCTGGGACACTTGGAACAAAGAGATGGTTTACTTGACCAGAAATAGGATCTTTACAAAGTGAAAGATAGAAAAATGTCAGGTGTTCAGTAATATGTGACTTTTATCATCTGATAAATGCTAGATGGTAATACACACACCAAATACATTTGACCCTGAGATAATTCACTTTAGCACTCCATCACACTTAAGTAATTACTTCACAGCTTTGGGTTTTTTTTTTTCTGAAACCATTTCTTTTGGTAAGTATGATGACTATGACTTGACTTTACCTTTCTGTGTTTCTTCACGAGCAGGTGCAATGGTTAGAGAGTTATTCGGCTTTACGGCAACAATTGAGAGATCGTCACACAATCAAAGGATACTTGTGGTCAAAGCCATACCACATTCGGAAGAGCCACGCACTCTCTACTTTTGTGGTGCTTTTATCCAGGCCATTTGCTTCCTGGGAGAAACAATGATAAAAATATATATATAAATAAATAATGTATAAGTAATAGGACATATTTAATTATACAAATACACCCAAACCAAGCTAAAGTTGACTCAATATGGAAAAGAAAGCTTAGGTAATGGCATTTTCATTGAAATGCTAACAGTCGCCAAGAAAATGAATTCATAGACCTTGTCTTATAGATGGAACAGACTGATGTGCAGTAATCGACATTTACTTTTCTAGCTGCCCCTCTAGTGGGTTTTCAAAGGCAGTTAATCCCACAGGAGGAGCTTGCCCATCCTTCTCCTGCGGAGCAGCTGGTGGATTTGAACCATGTGTCTTTGGGATTGCAGCGTGGCCACCAGAGCTTACATGTATTAGATATCTATACTCATTTTGATTGAAGGGAGCTCCCAATGGATTTCTTAATTTGAAAAGTGTGTAATCATAATTTTGTGTTTTGAAAATAATATTATATGGGAATAATTCCCATTTTAAGGAGACAATTTCTGCGTGCATTCTAGAAATCATCATGTTTTGATCACATGTGTAAAAAAGAGCAAGGACCACACGGGAATGGCCACATCTGACTTTTACCAATTTCACAAGGAGGAACTGTCTCTGTCAAACAGCATCAGTAACACACAACCAATTTTCATGTGGTCAGACATGGCCCCCCCATGCTCCCATGCCTCTTTCTATTCATCCTAACATTAATATTACTATTTTACTGGGTCCAAAAATCCAATGTGACGGCTCAAAGACCACATGGAACCATGTTGGGGAAGTAAAAAGGTTATATACAGGCTAGTAGCAGAATACATTCAGGACAGCTTCCAAAATGTGCTTGCAGACACCTACCTTGAGCCTTGTGGCTTTAGGCCAGTGTTATAATGTTCTCGGTTCTGCCAGTATTGGCTCCCCCACAGTCCTCTAACCAACTTTGGCAAAAGGCTATTATCTCTGGTGCAATGGTGAGCAGTCCCAAAGTCCACTCAGTCTCATGTTATTCCTACAAGTCTAGTTGGCATATAAGAGTCTCTGACCCCAAAGGGTGCTCACTGCATGCTTGCTTCTTCTTTGCTGGACTCAAGACTATTCAGCATTTACTTTCCTTAATAATCCCACTTTTATTAAGCAACAAAAAAGTGCTTCTTTTTTGTCTTGCTTTGTTGGACATTAACACAACTGATATTTCTTCCAGACTCCTTCAAGCATTTTGATGTTTATTTCAGTCATATTTGGATAACATTTATTTACAGAATACACAAAGGTCAAGACTTAACAGATCAGTAAGAGTCTTATAATTATTATGCTAATTTTCATTACCTTTTTAATAGATTGTTTCCAAAGGCTGTCACTACTTTTTGCAATCTTTCTAACTCAATTTGCAGGAGTTTTCAAATAGGTATTCCTCATAGAAAACCTGCAATAATTGTTCTTACCTTTTTTCCCTCCCTTCTTTTCATTTCACAGGGACCACAGAGGGAGAGAGGGACAAAAGGTATCGAGAAGAATAAAAAAGTAAGTACTGAATAGGTGCTTATGCAAGAACAGAAGATGAAATGTGAGAAAAAAAAGAAGAAAGGGGGGAAATTACAGACTTAAGAGAGTTGATGGTGAACATTACAGAGTGGTATAAAGGATATTCAGTGCCATTTCACTTCCTTTGTGAACTTTATTTTGCATAATAAGAGTAATGAATTCTAAGCTTCAATTGGCCATAATTATCTCTATCATTGAAATAAGTTCTAGTTTAATGTGGATTTCATTGTTATTTATTCAGGCTCATATTTCATCTGCCTAACGTCTATTAAGGATTCTAACTCCATTAATGTGCACATTCTTCTGTGGACATGATGACATATGAAGGCCAGTGGCAACTCATCCCTACTCATGTTGGCTGTTCTACTGGGCCCACATGATTTGTTTTCATTTTCCTGTTCTATTTGCCCTTTACCACCCAGTTTTGCAATTGTTTTCTATAAAGGGCTTGTATCTTGCTTTCTAGAATGTATGTTACCTTGTTGTTGTCATGTACCATTGAGTCACGACCAAGCCCTATCTGAACTTCCAGCTGCTTTTTTCAGAGGCAGTAAATCACAGCGGAGGAGTTGGCCCATCTTTCATCTGCGAAGCCACTGGTGGATTCAAACCACGTGCCTTTGGGTTGGCAACACAGCTCCTTACCACCACCCACAATGACGTGAGAATACAAGAATGTGAAATAGAGTTCATGTTTAGTAAGCTGCTAAACCATTCACATAATGGTTGAAATAAGAGGTCTGGTGGCATGATGGCCTCTGCACCAGCACAACCCAGAAACAGTTATTGGGCTGCCCGAAAGGTCGGTAGTTTGACTCTCCCAGCTGCTCCATGGAAGAAAGATGTGCAGTCAAAGCCTTTGACGATTTACAGTCTCAGAAATGCAAGGGGACGTCACCATGAAACAGAATCAACTCAATGGAAGTGAGATGTTTTCTTATAGGTTTTGTTTTATTTTATTTTATTATTTTTGTGTGAGTGTACCATCAAATCAGATCTGACTGGTACAGGAGGAGATTGTGCCTCCTTCCCGGGCAGAGCATCTGGTGGATTTGAACCGTGCGCCTCTGGGATTGTAGTTGCGGCTCCTTACCACTAGGCCACCAGAGCTCCCCTACTTAGAGGTTATTTTTTAGTGATTGAAATGGAGATTTGAAGTTAGAATTCTATGTAGTTGGCTGTAGTCGGCCTAATTATCAGTTGTCTTGTCATCTCTGACAAGACAAGGTGTCACATTACAAAATCCCTGCTGTACACATTGTTTCCTTCGTCATCTTTCCAAGTTGCTTCGGAGTCGCCATCTCTCCTACAGGTACAGCAGGTTAGGGTGCAGCTGGCAGAGCAAAACTACTCATTAAACTAACCAGGTTAGAGGAAGCTCTGGGCCAATGGGGACGTTTACCCCTTTCTCCCTCCTTTCCTTCGCCTTAAGAATAAAGACTCAGAGAATTTTATCCACTAACAGATTTAAGTACTTTTGTCAGTTGAGAATATCTGTTGATGACAAGATAGTCATCAAGGGAAACTGGCAGAAAAAGTCACCAAATCCCTGTTTTTGTTTGTTTGCTAGAGTCAGGGTGTTGTAGCGGTGAGCCTCACTTGACAGCCAGTCAACAAGGAGTTGAGCGCACATGCTGCCTTTGTCCAGCTGAACCAAGCTCTCAATAATGGCAGACCCCAGTTGTTGAGTGTGCACTGATGTTAATCAATGTGATAGCCACATTTTCCTGTCATTAGTTTTTCAGTGATTATTTCTAAATTTTTACAATAAAGAGGAGGACCTGAGAGAAATCCAGAGATGAAATGAGCCCAGAGTTAATCAGGTGGCCTTTGACAGAGCAGGAGTTTGAATCAAAGACTCTTACACTTCAAAGACCACGTTCTTTTTTTCTGCTATTTTACCTTGTCTCTACATTTTGGGAAACACAGATATTTTAACCTTTTTGTTTCGAAGTTTTCTTAAATGGGGAAATGAAATAAGTGGATCTCTAATCATATGGAAAATATTATATTTTCATTAATGACAATAGCAATAATAAGTAATATTTTTATCACTTTTTCTTGTATACCAGATAATGGGTTTCCCCATCATATTTCATTCTCATAACAATTTAATGAAATATATTCTATCATTGTGGATGTTGTTATGTGCCATTGAGTCACCTATGATTCATAGTGACCTAATGTGCAACAGTCCTAAAGCCAGCTTTATCTTGGGCCAGTCTCACTGACTCTAAAACACCAACTCCTATTGCCCCAGTTACTTGTCAATCTGTCTCATCAGGGGCCCACTTCTCTTGTGCTGTCCCTCCACCCTTCCAAGCTTGATGTCCTTCTTTAAGACTGGTCCCTCCTGGCCACATGGCCAAAATATGTGAGATGGATATATTCTGTTTAAATAGATATATAGAGAGACAGGTAATCTATTCTACTACTTTACCTATGAGAAGATTGAGGCATCAAGGGCATGGAGAAATTTCAACACATGCTTGTAGCCTCACAGCAGCCAAGATTCCCCTCATCCAGGTGGGGCTCCAAAGAGTAAGCAGGGAACAGATACCAAGAGGTATCTGAACAGGGACATGAGGTCAAAATACTAGAGTGCCCATGGAAGTTGAGACAGATCAGTTATATATAACCACAAGCACAATAAAAACCCATTTTTTAAGGGTGTGCCCTCAGTTGGGTAAACTTGTTATGATTTTGGAAATCTCCTTATAGAACCAAAACTTCAGTGTTAGGAATCTCTATAAACTCTTAGACCTTGGCTTCAAGGGCTTCTCAAGGCCTTAGGTGTTTTTTCTGCTTTCCCTTCCCCCTTTTGATTGTATTTCTTGAGGGGAACACATCAGAACACCTAGGTACTATGGAAAGACTGCATGATCTACTTCAGCAAATCCTCTGAAGATTTATTTTTGTCAGCTGATGGGAGCAACACGTGATGGAAGCATTTTGTAAAATACGTAGTTTTCTTTGATAGTTACATATTACTTGGGAGACTGGAGATTTTATCCATTTCACAACTTGGTAGAAACATAAACTGGGCCCAATTAGAAGAAAACATTTGTGGAGCTTGTTTTTCCAGGTAGGAATACTGCCCCTGATGACCCAGCATGGACATTTCTGCTGATCTTAGATGAAATTTTCAGTGTATACCTTAAATATCTCTTGGCTCAGATCTGGATCCATTCTTATTTCCCTGAAGTTATTGATGACTTAATAACTCAGTTATGAAAGGTCATCAATAAATGAGGAGAAAGAAATGAGTTAGTCATGTTACGCGTGCTGCTTGTGCACTGGGGGTTGAAGATAAATATGCCAAAGGAAGGCAGGCCTTTGCCAATGCCCTGAAACATGGAAGGCATCTGATGAGATAGCACAAGAGCAGACCCCTGAGAGGGGCCAGATGTGCCAAGAACAGCAGGTAGCATCATGCTACCTGCATTATTCTGAGGCGGAGATCA